CGTAAAGCTGAAATTTCATGTGAGCGTAGAAAAGCTGGCTTTTAACCCCACTTCGCCGCAATGAAATTCCAGCGTTAAAAAGTTAAAGCTATCGCTCCTACTTTTTCATGGAGCAGTTTAACGCTGGCTTTTCAGCTTGTATTAAATTTGTGAGAAGGTGAAGAACGTAAAAGGAGTGTTTTTAATCTTGGAGCATTTTACTATAAAAAATGGATAATTATCAATTAAACATCACAGATATGGAAGAATATAGACTTGTGACAGCCACAGTTGCAGCAGAGATTAAGAGGCGACGCGCAGCTGTTGTAATTGCTATAATGAAGTTATTACGAAATAAAAAAATATACAAAGAGAAAAAAAGATACAAAAAGAAAAACTATTGGGTGGCTCCTATTTTTGAAAATCGTTCGGAACATAGTTTTTTTTTTCGCGTCGGTCCCAAAATTGATTTTAGAGGACATACGATTTCATAATTACTTTAGAATGACTTCGATTCAGATGGAAGAATTGCTTGGCATGATTGGATCAAAATTACAGAAACAGGATGTTGTTCGACAATCTATAACACCATCTGAACGGTTGGCACTAACATTGAGGTTTGTTTTACACAGACGTAATAATATTGTACATTTTGTTTATTGTATGAATTGTTATTATGTACATGTTACATATACATTACATATAGAATATACTTTATTGTTGTAGATATCTTGCTTCTGGGGACTCTATGACATCGATGTCCTATCAGTATCTTGTGGGAGTAACAACAGTGAGTAATATTATTCGTGAGACTTGTGCAGCAATATGGGATTGTTTGAGCCCGGTAGTCCTCTCAGGTAAACTTGAAGAAAGGGATTGGCTGGATATCGCTAATGACTTTGAAAACATATGGAATTTCCCTCATTGTATTGGGGCCATTGATGGAAAGCACGTCATCATTCAAGTGCATAAATTTATTGTTATATACATTATAATTTAAATAAAAGATATAATTTTAAAAAGTATAATTTTAAGTAAAATAATTTTCTGTTTTAGTGCCCTAATAAGGCTGGATCGACATATTTCAATTATAAACAGTCTCACAGTATAGTTTTAATGGCCATCTGCGATGCGAAATATATAATCCGATTTGTGGATATTGGAGCATACGGACGACGAAGTGATGGTGGTATTTTCAAAGATAGCTTTATAGGGAAAGCATTTGACGAAGAATGGATGGGAATTCCGCAGCCAACAGCGATTGGAGAAGGAGGTCCTGTTCTACCATACTGTCTTGTAGGAGATGAAGCTTTTCCGCTAAAATCATATTTGCTTCGTCCATATCCTGGTAGAGGTGGACTTACAGCAGAACAGAGCATATATAATTATCGTCTCAGTCGTGCGAGAAGAATGATTGAAAATACATTCGGCATATTAGCAAGTCAATGGCGAATATATAGAAAGCCCATCATCGCTAGTCCTAAAAATGCAAAAATAATGGTTTCAGCAACCATTTGTCTACATAACTGGCTTCGCCGACAGGATGATAACATATATGTACCTCCGACTTTAATCGATATTGATGAACCGAATAGCTTTAAACCAGGTTCTTGGCGAAC